ACACACACACACACACACACAGTTCAGAAGAATAATAAGCCTGGGTCCTGCCCAGTTCTCCACTTCAATCACATCTTTCACACAAAATTTACAACCTTTCAAGAAAACTTCCTTGGTCATCGTCTTGATTAAGTCCTGACAGCAAAATACGACCAAACTTAGCAAGAAGCTGTGACTTCAACTCTTGAAGCTAACACATACGTCTTGGTCACTCTTCTTGAAATATTGACCAGGAAAAATATCTAAACTCGAAAGTTGGGTAGTATCGCTTTCTGCTCACAACCAGAAGGTTTGGGTCGAATCCCAGGCAGGGTTTCGAGAGTTGTGCTACTCCTGCAGCCCGAACTTGGGTCAGGCTCGTCTACACTTGTTCCAGCAGTGTTTCTGATATCTTGAAGACTTCTACACTTGTTCCAGCAGTGTTTCTGATATCTTGAAGACTTCTACACTTGTTCCAGCAGTGTTTCTAATATCTTGAAGACTTCTACACTTGTTCCAGCAGTGTTTCTGATATCTTGAAGACTTCTACACTTGTTCCAGCAGTGTTTCTGATATCTTGAAGACTTCTACACTTGTTCCAGCAGTGTTTCTGATATCTTGAAGACTTCTACACTTGTTCCAGCAGTGTTTCTAATATCTTGAAGACTTCTACACTTGTTCCAGCAGTGTTTCTAATATCTTGAAGACTTCTACACTTGTTCCAGCAGTGTTTCTAATATCTTGAAGACTTCTACACTTGTTCCAGCAGTGTTTCTGATATCTTGAAGACTTCTACACTTGTTCCACCAGTGTTTCTAATATCTTGAAGACTTCTACACTTGTTCCAGCAGTGTTTCTGATATCTTGAAGACTTCTACACTTGTTCCAGCAGTGTTTCTGATATCTTGAAGACTTCTACACTTGTTCCAGCAGTGTTTCTGATATCTTGAAGACTTCTACACTTGTTCCAGCAGTGTTTCTAATATCTTGAAGACTTCTACACTTGTTCCAGCAGTGTTTCTGATATCTTGAAGACTTCTACACTTGTTCCAGCAGTGTTTCTGATATCTTGAAGACTTCTACACTTGTTCCACCAGTGTTTCTGATATCTTGAAGACTTCTACACTTGTTCCACCAGTGTTTCTGATATCTTGAAGACTTCTACACTTGTTCCACCAGTGTTTCTAATATCTTGAAGACTTCTACACTTGTTCCAGCAGTGTTTCTGATATCTTGAAGACTTCTACACTTGTTCCAGCATGTTTCTGATATCTTGAAGACTTCTACACTTGTTCCAGCAGTGTTTCTGATATCTTGAAGACTTCTACACTTGTTCCAGCAGTGTTTCTAATATCTTGAAGACTTCTACACTTGTTCCAGCAGTGTTTCTGATATCTTGAAGACTTCTACACTTGTTCCAGCAGTGTTTCTGATATCTTGAAGACTTCTACACTTGTTCCAGCAGTGTTTCTGATATCTTGAAGACTTCTACACTTGTTCCACCAGTGTTTCTGATATCTTGAAGACTTCTACACTTGTTCCACCAGTGTTTCTAATATCTTGAAGACTTCTACACTTGTTCCAGCAGTGTTTCTGATATCTTGAAGACTTCTACACTTGTTCCACCAATGTTTCTGATATCTTGAAGACTTCTACACTTGTTCCACCAGTGTTTCTGATATCTTGAAGACTTCTACACTTGTTCCACCAGTGTTTCTAATATCTTGAAGACTTCTACACTTGTTCCAGCAGTGTTTCTGATATCTTGAAGACTTCTACACTTGTTCCAGCAGTGTTTCTGATATCTTGAAGACTTCTACACTTGTTCCAGCAGTGTTTCTGATATATTGAAGACTTCTACACTTGTTCCACCAGTGTTTCTAATATCTTGAAGACTTCTACACTTGTTCCAGCAGTGTTTCTGATATCTTGAAGACTTCTACACTTGTTCCAGCAGTGTTTCTAATATCTTGAAGACTTCTACACTTGTTCCACCAGTGTTTCTGATATCTTGAAGACTTCTACACTTGTTCCACCAGTGTTTCTGATATCTTGAAGACTTCTACACTTGTTCCACCAGTGTTTCTAATATCTTGAAGACTTCTACACTTGTTCCAGCAGTGTTTCTGATATCTTGAAGACTTCTACACTTGTTCCAGCAGTGTTTCTGATATCTTGAAGACTTCTACACTTGTTCCAGCAGTGTTTCTGATATCTTGAAGACTTCTACACTTGTTCCACCAGTGTTTCTAATATCTTGAAGACTTCTACACTTGTTCCAGCAGTGTTTCTGATATCTTGAAGACTTCTACACTTGTTCCAGCAGTGTTTCTAATATCTTGAAGACTTCTACACTTGTTCCAGCAGTGTTTCTGATATCTTGAAGAGTTCTACACTTGTTCCAGCAGTGTTTCTGGTATCTTGAAGACTTCTACACTTGTTCCAGCAGTGTTTCTGATATCTTGAAGACTTCTACACTTGTTCCAGCAGTGTTTCTAATATCTTGAAGACTTCTACACTTGTTCCAGCAGTGTTTCTGATATCTTGAAGACTTCTACACTTGTTCCAGCAGTGTTTCTGGTATCTTGAAGACTTCTACACTTGTTCCAGCAGTGTTTCTGATATCTTGAAGACTTCTACACTTGTTCCAGCAGTGTTTCTGATATTCTTGAAGACTTCTACACTTGTTCCAGCAGTGTTTCTGATATCTTGAAGACTTCTACACTTGTTCCAGCAGTGTTTCTAATATCTTGAAGACTTCTACACTTGTTCCAGCAGTGTTTCTAATATCTTGAAGACTTCTACACTTGTTCCAGCAGTGTTTCCGGTATCTCCTGGTAACATGTTAAATAATCTGGGGCCACGGATGTTGATACAGTGTTCCCTTATTGTGCCCACTACACCCCTGCTCCTCACTGGGTTTATTTTGTACTTCCTCCCATATCTCTCACTCCAATATGTTGTTATGGCAGTGTGTAGGTTTGGAACTAATGAGACAATTTCAAACACAATATACGGCTCCATTCAGGGCAAGAGAGATATCAGAGCTGGAACAGATACAGAGATTATTTACGACCCACACACAGCCAGTAAAGTATTGAAATTACTGGGCTGGTGTCCTTACACCTGCTGCCACTGTTTACCTAGCAGTAAGTAGGTACTTGCGTGTTAATCACCTTACAACTGCTGCCACTGTTCACCTAACAGTAAGTAGGTACCTGGGTATTAGTTGGTTGTTGTGGGTGGCATCCTGGGCAGAGTGAGACGTATGGACAAGTCACCTTACACCTACTGCTGTCACTGTTCACCTAGCAGTAAGTAGGTACCTGGGTGTTAGTTGGCTGTCGTAGGTGGCATCCTGGGCAGAGTGAGACGTATGGGCAAGTCACCTTACACCTACTGCTGTCACTGTTCACCTAGCAGTAAGTAGGTACCTGGGTGTTAGTTGGCTGTCGTGGGTGGCATCCTGGGCAGAGTGAGACGTATGGGCAAGTCACCTTACACCTACTGCTGTCACTGTTCACCTAGCAGTAAGTAGGTACCTGGGTGTTAGTTGGCTGTCGTGGGTGGCATCCTGGGCAGGGTGTTGGAAAGCAAGGAACCTGCAGGCTTACAAGAAGTAACCAACAGATAACTCAGTAAGTATAAAGGGACCAAGACTCTTAACTTGGACCAGGGGAGCCTAAAGTTCTTCCCACACTTGAAGGAACTCTTCTTAGAACTTGGTTTCATGAATAAAAACTGTAAATAAAAGTGTGTAAATACGATTTTGTAAATTCCTGTGGATAATCTTGTAAATTGAACTGTGTAAATACATCAGTGTAAATACATCAGTGTAAATACGTCACTGTAAATACGTCACTGTAAATACATCAGTGTAAATACATCAGTGTAAATACGTCACTGTAAATACATCAGTGTAAATACGTCACTGTAAATACATCAGTGTAAATACGTCACTGTAAATACATCAGTGTAAATACGTCATGTAAATACATCAGTGTAAATACGTCAGTGTAAATACGTCAGTGTAAATACATCAGTGTAAATACGTCATGTAAATACGTCAGTGTAAATACATCAGTGTAAATACGTCATGTAAATACATCAGTGTAAATACGTCACTGTAAATACATCAGTGTAAATACGTCACTGTAAATACATCAGTGTAAATACGTCATGTAAAACTCAGTGTAAATACGTCAGTGTAAATACGTCAGTGTAAATACATCAGTGTAAATACGTCATGTAAATACGTCAGTGTAAATACATCAGTGTAAATACGTCATGTAAATACATCAGTGTAAATACGTCACTGTAAATACATCAGTGTAAATACGTCACTGTAAATACATCAGTGTAAATACGTCATGTAAATACATCAGTGTAAATACGTCAGTGTAAATACGTCACTGTAAATACATCAGTGTAAATACGTCAGTGTAAATACGTCAGTGTAAATACATCAGTGTAAATACGTCAGTGTAAATACGTCAGTGTAAATACATCAGTGTAAATACGTCAGTGTAAATACATCAGTGTAAATACGTCATGTAAATACATCAGTGTAAATACGTCAGTGTAAATACGTCAGTGTAAATACATCAGTGTAAATACGTCAGTGTAAATACATCAGTGTAAATACGTCATGTAAATACATCAGTGTAAATACGTCAGTGTAAATACGTCAGTGTAAATACATCAGTGTAAATACGTCAGTGTAAATACGTCAGTGTAAATACGTCATGTAAATACATCGGTGTAAATACGTCACTGTAAATACATCAGTGTAAATACGTCAGTGTAAATACGTCAGTGTAAATACAGTGTAAATACATCAGTGTAAATTAGTGTAAATACAGTCACAAATTCAAAAGTGATATTGAACTGTGTAAACACAGATTTGTAAATTCAGTTGTAAATTAAACTGTATTTAAGTGCAACTTGTGTAAATTAAATTGTAAAATAATACGTGTAAATACAGTAGCATAAATTCAACTGTAAATCAGAGAGCAACTTACAGTGAGGTCAACGTCTTCGTTATCTGAGTGGTGGTTCCTGATGGCCCGACCCTTGTGGTGATCTGCATGGCTGTCTCTGATGGAAACTGCTTCTGCGCGGCCACATCCCCAACCAGAGCCTGTGGTACAGTCACTGTAGTACATGATCACGGCCACGTCCATCACGAACCACACCAAGGACGTCACCAGCACTATCTTGCAGGTGTGCACTCGCAGTCTCGACGCGCGAAACATCGTGCACGGTGCTGAAGGCTGTGGTGCACGGTGCTGGAGGCTGTGGTGCACGGTGATGAAGACTGTGGTGCACGGTACTGGTGGAACACAGTACTGGAGGCTTACTGAAGGATTTCTGACAACCCCTGGCTGTGGTACACGATGCTGAAGGCTGTGGTACTCAGTACTCGAGGTTAACTGACCTCCTAAAACAGTTACCGAGGTACTGGAGACTTACTGACTTCCCGTAACAGTCACTGACGGTACTGACAGGTGAGTTACTTCCAGTAGTACTGGGTGACGGTGTTAGTGGCTTGGTAAGTGGCTTCAAGATACTTCCAAAACGAGATTTAACAAGGAACCAATTACTTCTTCCACTAATCTAACTCGTTACAATGCTCACGGAAGGCCAAAGAAAGATTTAGACAATAATATCAGCAAAAGAATATCCTACACTCACGTAATGGGACTCAGTAGAATGAACCTCCAGGTTACAGTCATTACTAGCATTCTACACTGAGGTATGGAACTTAGTAGAATGAATTACGCTATCATACGCATTCTACAATGAGGAATGGGACTTGGAAGAATGAATTACGCTATCACAAGCATTCTACACTGAAGAATGGGACTTGGTAGACAGAATCCTGAGGAGGAACACTCTTGACAGCGTTCCGGGGCGCTTACAGAGCTGAAATGGGAAGACACTGAACGGAAGGGCTGGAAAGGGAATGATAGTGGACGTGTTGTGTGATGAAGCTGATGCGAAGAGTGCAGGTGTGTAAGGGAGGGACAGGTGTGAGAAATACAGGTGTGAGAGAGGGCTACAACGGCCACATCACACCGTCACCACATCCTACACTGCAACGTTCGTCCCATGTACCTGTAGAGAGAGAAACCACACATCAGTACAACAGTACATAAGAATATAAGAATGGAGGAACACTGCAAAAGGCCTACTGGCCCGTACAAGGCAGGTCCTTATCAAAACCACTCATTCCCACCCACGTATTTGCTCAACTTTTCCCAAAGCTACCCAAGAATTTACTCCCGTACCCACAACACCAATCAAACCCAGCCCCTCCCACTCACATATCTGTCCAATCTCTTTTTAAAGGTACCCGGGTCCTAGCCTCGATCACCCTACTCGGAAGATTGTTCCACGCTTCCACAACTCCGTTACAAAACCAATAGTTACATACGCCCTTTCTAAATCTAAATTTACCATCAACACAACAGTACAACAGTGCATAAGCCTATGATATACCACAGTACGACTGTCAAATTCCAAGAATCATCGTCCCTACAGCCTACTCTTAGGCCTGATTTTATATACTGGTGGACGGTAGTGGCTAGTTTATTGTGGATGGTAACGCAAGAACTAGTAGATATGATAAATGGTTTAAAACCGACAAGTTGAAGATTGAGACACTTATGCAACATATGGGAATCTTTACTGAAGAAACGTTTTGCCACACAGTGGCTTCATCAGTCCAATACAAAGCAGAAAGGTGTAAGGAGAGGAGGAGTTTGAGGTAATCAGTCCCTCAGCCTGGGGTCGATGTGTTCAATCCATCAGTCTTGTAGAATGTACAGCATAGGACCGTAGACGTGGCTTATATACTTCGACTAGTGGATGGTACCACTATGACCCCGCCTCCTCCTGCTTCGCCTCACCTCACTACAGTATATAAGCCACGTCTACGGTCCTATGCTGTACATTCTACAAGACTGATGGACTGAACACATCGACTCCAGGCTGAGGGACTGATTACCTCTGGTGGCCTGGTGGTTAACGCTCTCGCTTCACACGGTGAGGGCCTGGGTTCGATTCCCAGCCAGAGTAGAAACATTGGACGTGTTTCTTTCCACCTGTTGTCTATGTTCCCCATCAGTAAAATGGGTACTTGGGTGTTAGTCGACTGGTGTGGGTCGCATCCTGGGACACTGACCTAAGGAGGCCTGGTCACAGACCGGGCCGCGGGGGCGTTGACCCCCGGAACTAACTCCAGGTAACCTCAAACTACTCATTTTCTTACACATTTCTGCTTTGTATTGGACTGATGAAGCCACTGTGTGGCGAACCGTTTCCTCAGTAAAAATTCCCATTTGTTGCATAAGTGTCTCAATCTTCAACTTGTAGATACAAAAAAGGCCTAGGAGCTAGGCCCCAAAAGGGTTTACAGGAGCGCTTCTGAATTTATATCTATCATTTATGTTTTATTTATTTAAACAAAATTTAGGATATTTCAATGCTATGTCTAGTATCTTATTTTCATTAAAAAGATATCTTGACTTAACACAGATGATTATACTATCTGAAAATGAAAATTAGACACATGTGCAACATCTGGGTATCTTTATTTTAGACGTTTCGCCCTCCAGTGGCTTTATCAATACAAATTCGAAGACACAATTGAAAAACAGAAGAACTATACACCAAAGGTGAGGTAATCAGTCCCTCAGAATTGGAGTTGGTAGAGAGGACCGGAGTCTTGAAGAATCTGAACCACAGTCCTGGAGCTTGGTGCTTATATACTGGCGTCAGGTGAGGGACGGGTAGCAGACGAAGACAGTGTCACTGATAGGTGGGATTACCCAGTGGAAGTAGGTCATACCCGAGGGGACTGGTCAGTAATAGTTAAGAAGGTTGTGTAGATGTCCTCTGTACCAAGATGCCACGATGTTGTAATGTCTGACAAGTTATACGTGAAAGGTATATAATGGTATTATACCATTTATGTACAATATATATATATATATATATATATATATATATATATATATATATATATATATATATATATATATATATATATATATATATATATATATATTCCTCATTAAGTGGACAATTAAGCACTAAGTGCTCAAGATAGTGACCACAGGCCTGGCTACATACACTCCATTTAGTTTTATCATCTGGGTGTCTGCCAGACTGTCAAAAAGTACTTGTAACCAAGCCTAAGCCAGACTACTACAACACCACACTGTCAGAAGTACTTGTAACCAAGCCTAAGCCAGGCTACTACAACACCACACTGTCAGAAGTACTTGTAACCAAGCCTAAGCCAGGCTACTACAACACCACACTGTCAGAAGTACTTGTAACCAAGCCTAAGCCAGACTACTACAACACCACACTGTCAGAAGTACTTGTAACCAAGCCTAAGCCAGGCTACTACAACACCACACTGTCAGAAGTACTTGTAACCAAGCCTAAGCCAGACTACTACAACACCACACTGTCAGAAGTACTTGTAACCAAGCCTAAGCCAGACTACTACAACACCACACTGTCAGAAAGTACTTGTAACCAAGCCTAAGCCAGGCTACTACAACACCACACTGTCAGAAGTAATTGTAACCAAGCCTAAGCCAGAATACTACAACACCACACTGTCAGAAGTACTTGTAACCAAGCCTAAGCCAGACTACTACAACACCACACTGTCAGAAGTACTTGTAACCAAGCCTAAGCCAGACTACTACAACACCACACTGTCAGAAGTACTTGTAACCAAGCCTAAGCCAGGCTACTACAACACCACACTGTCAGAAGTACTTGTAACCAAGCCTAAGCCAGGCTACTACAACACCACACTTTCAGAAGTACTTGTAACCAAGCCTAAGCCAGGCTACTACAACACCACACTGTCAGAAGTACTTGTAACCAAGCCTAAGCCAGACTACTACAACACCACACTGTCAGAAGTACTTGTAACCAAGCCTAAACCAGACTACTACAACACCACACTGTCAGAAGTACTTGTAACCAAGCCTAAGCCAGGCTACTACAACACCACACTGTCAGAAGTACTTGTAACCAAGCCTAAACCAGACTACTACAACACCACACTGTCAGAAGTACTTGTACCAAGCCTAAGCCAGGCTACTACAACACCACACTGTCAGAAGTACTTGTAACCAAGCCTAAGCCAGACTACTACAACACCACACTGTCAGAAGTACTTGTAACCAAGCCTAAGCCAGACTACTACAACACCACACTGTCAGAAGTACTTGTAACCAAGCCTAAGCCTGGCTACTACAACACCACACTGTCAGAAGTACTTGTAACCAAGCCTAAGCCAGACTACTACAACACCACACTGTCAGAAGTACTTGTAACAAAGCCTAAGCCAGGCTACTACAACACCACACTGTCAGAAGTACTTGTAACCAAGCCTAAGCCAGGCTACTACAACACCACACTGTCAGAAGTACTTGTAACCAAGCCTAAGCCAGGCTACTACAACACCACACTGTCAGAAGTACTTGTAACCAAGCCTAAGCCAGGCTACTACAACACCACATTGTCAGAAGTACTTGTAACCAAGCCTAAGCCAGGCTACTACAACACCACACTGTCAGAAGTACTTGTAACCAAGCCTAAGCCAGACTACTACAACACCACACTGTCAGAAGTACTTGTAACCAAGCCTAAGTCAGACTACTACAACACCACACTGTCAGAAGTACTTGTAACCAAGCCTAAGCCAGACTACTACAACACCACACTGTCAGAAGTACTTGTAACCAAGCCTAAGCCAGACTACTACAACACCACACTGTCAGAAGTACTTGTAACCAAGCCTAAGCCAGACTACTACAACACCACACTGTCAGAAGTACTTGTAACCAAGCCTAAGCCAGGCTACTACAACACCACACTGTCAGAAGTACTTGTAACCAAGCCTAAGCCAGGCTACTACAACACCATACTGTCAGAAGTACTTGTAACCAAGCCTAAGCCAGACTACTACAACACCACACTGTCAGAAGTACTTGTAACCAAGCCTAAGCCAGACTACTACAACACCACACTGTCAGAAGTACTTGTAACCAAGCCTAAGCCAGGCTACTAAAACACCACACTGTCAGAAGTACTTGTAACCAAGCCTAAGCCAGACTACTACAACACCACATTGTCAGAAGTACTTGTAACCAAGCCTAAGCCAGACTACTACAACACCACACTGTCAGAAGTACTGGTAACCAAGCCTAAGCCAGACTACTACAACATCACACTGTCAGAAGTACTTGTAACCAAGCCTAAGCCAGACTACTACAACACCACACTGTCAGAAGTACTTGTAACCAAGCCTAAGCCAGACTACTACAACACCACACTGTCAGAAGTACTGGTAACCAAGCCTAAGCCAGGCTACTACAACACCACACTGTCAGAAGTACTTGTAACCAAGCCTAAGCCAGACTACTACAACACCACACTGTCAGAAGTACTTGTAACCAAGCCTAAGCCAGACTACTACAACACCACACTGTCAGAAGTACTTGTAACCAAGCCTAAGCCAGGCTACTACAACACCACACTGTCAGAAGTACTTGTAACCAAGCCTAAGCCAGACTACTACAACACCACATTGTCAGAAGTACTTGTAACCAAGCCTAAGCCAGACTACTACAACACCACACTGTCAGAAGTACTGGTAACCAAGCCTAAGCCAGACTACTACAACACCACACTGTCAGAAGTACTTGTAACCAAGCCTAAGCCAGACTACTACAACACCACACTGTCAGAAGTACTTGTAACCAAGCCTAAGCCAGACTACTACAACACCACACTGTCAGAAGTACTGGTAACCAAGCCTAAGCCAGGCTACTACAACACCACACTGTCAGAAGTACTTGTAACCAAGCCTAAGCCAGACTACTACAACACCACACTGTCAGAAGTACTTGTAACCAAGCCTAAGCCAGACTACTACAACACCACACTGTCAGAAGTACTTGTAACCAAGCCTAAGCCAGGCTACTACAACACCACACTGTCAGAAGTACTTGTAACCAAGCCTAAGCCAGGCTACTACAACACCACACTTTCAGAAGTACTTGTAACCAAGCCTAAGCCAGACT